GTGGACTGGGCATTCCTGGACAAATGTTTGGAAAGAATGAACTTTGGTCCTACCTTTCGACATTGGGTTAGGATCCTTTACCAAAACGTCACCACCTGTGTGCAGGTGAACAGGTCGATAGCGCCCCCCTTCGAGCTTCAGAGGTCTGTAAGACAAGGGGACCCCATCGCACCCTACCTTTTTGTGGTGATAATGGAAGCACTTTCAGCCAACCTCAGGCATAATAAAAACCTCTCTCGTATCAAAATCACTAACATACCGGAGGAGGCAGTGCCGATCTGCTCCCTTTTTGCTGATGACCTTTCCATAATGATGGAGCAACAAACCGTAACATGGAAGAAATCCAAAACCTCATGAACCGGTTCTGCCAGCTTTCGGATATGACAGTAAATTGGGGACAGAAGACTACAGGCTGGTGGATGCACCATCAAGGAGGTAGGCCCCCTGAAAACCCGCGAATCACATGGCTCCCCCCGGAAGACCCATTGAGAATTTTGGGGGCCCTTCTTACAGCCAAAGGAAAGTCGGCGACCAACGACGAGTGGTTGACTAGACCAACAAACGCCAAACTAAAGCAATGGAATAAAAAACACACATCGTTATTTGGGAGGGCTCTGGTCATTAATAATGTCGTTCTGGCCACACTTTGGTACAAATCGATTGTATGGCCCATGAGCGACGGGGGCCTTAGGTCACTCAAAAAGCAGCTTGCAGCCTTCCTCTGGAGAGGGGACAGTAATGCCACCCACGCAATTAGCCGAGTAGCTTGGGACTCAGTGATTCAGCCTAAAACCAGAGGAGGACTAGGAATTGTGGACCCGGCCCCTCAATCCCAGACTCTCACACTTCGCTGGCTCCAACACATCATCCTTTCTCCATCCTCCCCCTGGCCCCCATTGGCCCTGGCACAAATTGTTGCCCTGGCACCAGAGGCCCCCCCGGAGACTGACCCCCTGGTATGGCTACAAGACAGATACTGGAAGCTTCCAAGGAAAGACAAGACTGGGGAGTCGATGAGCACATTCTGGCTGCGTTTACTTCGCACATGGAGGAAACACCCGCCGCCCGACCGGCCCAGTCCGGATCGATGGGAAGAAATTTTCAGACAACCACTCTTTGGGAATCGTCTGATTACGGATGCTTTGGGTCAGGTAAGATGCAGCTCCGATGCCCCTTGGAAAGGTTGGGTCAAACATGGCGCCAGTCGGGTAGGGGACCTATGGGATATAGAGGGAAGATGTTGGAAGACTGCAGAAAGGATGCATGCATGGCTACACTATTGCCATCACACAGAAGCAAAGTTAAACGAACTGATTGAAAGCTTCCCCCTCCAGTGGTATAGCATCCTTCGAAAAGACCCTCAATTGAGAGAAAGAGACTGGGTGGGCCTGCCCAATCAGAAGGAGGAGATCGGGCAAGTACACGTTGTCAATCAGACACTGGCCCTAATTGAGATTTTTGCCATCCAAAGGGATGGCTCTTTACGAGGCAGCTAGGATCCGTTTATTTGGATGGACAAAACGAACATATAACGCATCAAGGTTCTGGACAATGGCAGAGGACAATGTGCCTACCGCCCAACAACCCCGATTGAGGATCTCCCCTTCGACCCCGACGAGTGACATTGGTCCGAGGTGGCCGCGCCTAGAAAAGGACCGACAAAACCACTAACACTACACACTCTAAAATCGAAATCAGTCTATCGTATGCTCCGCCCCAAACAAAGATTGCGGGAGACGGTTGAGGACAGGTGGCATCGACATCTCAATGTGGACCGAGACTTACTCAAGCCGATCCGTTGGTTCACTCAATTTAGGAATAAACCTGCTAAGATTTCGGCCCTCCTGTGGCAAATAGCCCACCGATGCCTGCCAACAAATGATTGGTTAATAGATCACACCCGTCTGGAGCAGCAAGGTCGGGCATTACCTTGGTGCCATAGTTGCCTATTGAATTATCCAAGGAGGAAAAGGGCTGAAACAATTGAACACATCTTCCTCCAATGTCCGGCTTCGGTTTTGCTCTGGAGGGTTTGGGATAGGATCTGCCGACACATAGTCCCCGGGGCAGAATGGCCATGGGAATGGAGGGCTATATTACTAGGACATTACCCCTCAATTCAGGGAGACACATTCGAAGAAAACATGTTTCATTTGGGCAGGCGGGCGGTCCTGTGGGTCATCTGGTGGAAACGATGCATTTTGGAACTGGAAGGGGCGCGGGTCGAAGAAGGTGAAGTCACAGAACAATTACGCCTGCTAATTGAACATGAAATTGCTGCCCAATGGCAGGCGGCCAGAAACAAATTGGATCAAATGAACTCCTGGTCTGACATCAACAAGATCATATCCCGATTCAGTCAGAATTGGTTGGGAGGGGAAAGAAAAGGATGGGTGGCGGAGGTGAGATGGTCAGAGAATCGCCAGCCGGGCGGAGAGCCGCAAGAAGGACACCGGATGGAGATAGCAAGGGATTATCAGTTGATCTTCCATGACTGGACAAACCTCGATCCCGGCGAAAGGTTATGCCCGGCCCATGAATTTGCAGACCCCTTCCCCCCCCACCCACTGGCACTGGAAGAGGCCCTCCCCCCATGATCATAGTATGCCGGTCCGAGCCTCCGCCCTGCTTCCTCCTTTGGTCTACTTGAGGCCTCCCTACCCCAGCCCCCTCCCTACCCCAGAGCCCTTTTGTTCTCCTCTGCCCCTTCGGTACCTCCTCTGTCTGATCATCCCCGTTAATCTCGGCCTTTCAATACGAGCGCAGCTCAATGGTCAGCAGAAGGACTGCAGCAGATGGATACACAGCAGGTTGGATCAGATGAACAGCGCTGATATGGGACGCTGGACCCAGTTTCCAGCATGGGTAATGTATTGTCTTGCTCAGTTTCCTTCGGAGGTGTGGCTGTCCCCTTTACTACATGGACAACAGTGACACAGCGGCAGATGGATACACTACAAGTTAGGCTGGATAAACAGAATTGCACGGTCCGTCTCAGCCTGAGTGTCCAAACAGGGTTGGCAGGGATGTTAGACTCGGGGCTCGGAACATACCCCAGGGAGGCAGGAATGCTGTACTCGGAACAAGGGACGCTGGACCCGGTTTCCAGCACTAGGGTGTCAGACTTTCGACATGATATTGTTCTGAAAATTTCTGTAATTTTTCTACAAAATTCCTGGACGCCATGAGGACAGTAGGAGGGGAGCAGGATCTAGGGGAGGGAGGGAGGCCCCACTGGTGCCCCCCGGTGAGTCTCCCGCCAGTACCCGACGATGCTGCAGGCTAAGTAGGAAGACCAAGGTTAGACATGGGCTGCTGGACCCGGTTTCCAGCCAATGGCATCACCAGCAAGACTGTACTGTTACCAACAGATGTATTCATGGGACGCTGGGCCCGGTTCCCAGCAGGTGATGCTCCCCACCAATAGACGGAGCGGCCCGCCAGGCAAAGCCTCAATCCCGGTGGTTCTCTTACCACCACCAGGATAGAGGCCTTGTACAAGGGCCTGTTCAAAAAAAAA